AAATCAAATAAAAAATGTTTAAAAAAAAAGGAAAAAAAAAAAGATGTGGTAATATATATACAGTGGAATACTACTCAGCCATAAAAAAGAATAAAATAATACCATTTGCAGGAACATGGATGGACCTGGAGATCATCATTCTAAGTGACATGGACTGGAATGAGAAAGAAAAATGCCATATGATATCACTTACATGTGGATTCTCAAAAAAAAGGGACACAAATGAACAACTTATTATTTATAACAACTTATTATTTATAACATTATTAGATGATTGATTTCTTGAATATGTGTAAGGACATTTGACTGTCCTTTTTTTTTTTTAAATGGACTTTATTTTTTAAGAGCAGTTTCATATTTATAGCAGAATTGAGCAGAAAATACAGTTCCCACATAGCCCTCCTCACCCTCACATACATACTCCCCTACCCTCAACATCCCTCATCAGTGTGGCATATTTGGTAAAATTGATGAACCAACATGGACACATTATTACCAACCAAATTCCATAGTTTACATTGGGGTTCACTCCTGATGTTGTACATTCTGTGGGCTTTGACAAGTGCATAATGACATGTAGCCACCATCATAATATCATGCTAAGTAATTTCATCACCCTAAAAATCCCTTGTGCTCCATCTATTCATCCCTCCCTCCCTCTCCCCAAACCCCTGGAAACCAAGATCGTTTTGTTTCTGTAGCTGTGCCTTTTCCAGAATGTCATTTGGTTGGAATCGTACAGTTTGTAGCCTTTCCAGAATGGTGTCTTTCATTTAGTAAAATGTGTTTTAAGTTTCTTCCATGACATTTGACTGTCCTTTATGACTGGATGACTGCATTCCTGTTTTGTGGTTGGCTTTATTCCTTTGATAATTATGTTAGTTTAATAAGCTAAAGCTCTAAACTGTTCTTAGAAACAATGGACAGTACATATATGTAAATTTAAAAGATATGTGCTGTATACTGTATATATATATTTACATGCAATATGTTGTATACATGCAAACTATAGCAATTCTACATAATAAAACTGAAAAATGGAAAAAAAAGGGGGTTAGGTGTGGAGCTTTTACTTCCCAATGAGATAGGAGCTTAGAGTACAATCAAAGGCATCATAACAAATGCAATGGCAGTGAAAATGGTCTGGATTCTGACTCCACACTCAACACAATATTGGGTGTCCCAAATCCCGCATAGCTCCTTCCTTCTTCTGGCAAGGTGCCAGGAAGCTCGTACTTCTTGGTAACTTCTAGGTTTTTGCTGCTGTTTCAAGTACACTGATTGGTGGCTGTGTGAGCTATGACTTAGCTACTTCAGAGGACCTGTGCCTGTCCATCTGATTTATTGACTCTGTAGCTTCTGATGTCAATGATTTTAAAAGCATTAACACTGACTTCGTGGCTCCTGTATTAAAAGCAACAACACAAATACATTCAACAATAGCTACCATTTCTCAGCATTTTTTTGTGTGCCAGGCAGAGTGGTAACACCAGACCATCTTATTTGATTACTATAGCAGCCCTATGAGGTAAGGAATATTATTGTCCCCGTTTTACAAGTAAGGAAAGAGAAACTTTCTGAAAGCCACTACAAGCTGGGTTACAAACCCAGAATTTAGAATCTCACACTTAAACATCTTACTCCTTACAATCTAGTTTTCCGCTGGCAAAGGAAGAATATTTTCTGACAGTTTACAGCATACCAGGCATCGTATCAAGTACTCCACATGCCTCTTCCCCTTTGTGACCACAGTGCTGAAAATACTCTGACCCTCCTTCAGTGAAGTTGGAGAAAGTTCTCTTCCCACTGAGGTCAAAATTATATAAAAAGACTGCTGAAGAGGTAGAAAGTCTTAACACCAGAGATTAGACTATAAGTCTTGATTTTCTCACTCACAAATTCTGTAAAGTTATTTCAACTATCTAAGCCTATGATTCTTCATCATTAAAATAACGTAACATTTGTATCTCTTTCCTGAGTTAAGAGAATTGAGAATTATATAAAGAATAATGTGTACTCACATTAGTCTCTCAATAAATGTTGGCTATTCTTATTAAAAAGAAGAAAAGGCGCAGGAAATGGTAGTTTTATTTTTTACCACCTTAACAGCTTTACAAATTGTGTTCCTATGATAGTAGAAACTGTACTAGCCTTAGTAATTGAGAACTGAGAGAAGGGAAGAGCAGGTAGAGGTGGGATGTAATCACCAATAAAAATTAGCTAAGTTTCTCTAGGCTGTATATGGTTTTGTTATTTGTCAATTTGTCTCAGCACTTTTTGAAGCCATTTACATTTTGTCTTAAACACCCATTGGTTAATGAGTCCCTCTAAAAGTTAGAAATTTTAAGAGTAGGGACTGTTCTTGAATATTTAACAGGCATTAATATAAGGTCTTGAACACAGTAAACTGTCAGAAGGAAGTTATGTTATTTGTCCTAAATCTATTTTAGAAAAACTAACATATCTTAATATTTTGGAATTTTTCTTTCGATCAAAGGTTTCTGCGAATGGAGAAGTTTTTGTTTTCTGCTTTGTTTTTTATATATCCAGGATATTAGATCTGATCTTTGATAAAGAATTAAATGGGTAATTTTGAAAAAGGTTTCCGATAAAATTGCTTAAAGAGTTTTTGGTCTTTATCCACTATTGTTTCGATAGTGACTTGTAATTAGGTGCTTAATACACATTATGAAAGGATGAAACACCATCTAATAGTATTAATGCTTATTAATTTTTTTTAATGCTTTTAAATTTGTATATAGTATATCAATTTACACAGCATCCTCCCATATTATCTCATTTGCTTATTGGTTCAGAATATACGGTGTGAATATAAAGTTTAAAGCATACTTTTCCCTTTAGTTCTCCTTCAAAGGGAATCTATTTTAAGGGAACTAAGTGCACTATACTGGAAACATAAATCTGACAAAGACGTAAGTTTGAAGTAGCAATGGCCAAGATTTGCCAAGTGGCAGCAGCTAATTTTGGCGCAGATGGATTGGAGATGGATGAATAGGTGAAAAAGGTCAGTGGCATCACAGTATGCTGAGGTCCGACAACCGGACAACGCAATGCTTAAAAAGCACAGCCTTAAAAACGTCCAGGTGTTCAGGTAAAGAGTCGCTCAACAACAAAACAAACAAAAACAAAAAGAAAAAAACAAACTTTGCCTTGTAAGGCACGTTTCTGTGGACTTATGACTTGGGAGAGGGAGGCGAGAGCAGTCGGTGAATCTAGTTCAATGCCTGGGAAGCTGGAAAGGTCTGAAAACTTAAGTCAAAAACAAAATAGGCAGTCCATGACTGTCAACACCTTACATTACTCCCAACCGACGCCCCTCGAGGGAACAGGTCTCCAACCACAATGCCCACGCTTTGGACCGGCCGGTCCACACTGCAGATCCCGGAAAGGTGGTCAGGTGCTCAAGGTCAGGTGGAAGAGAGGAGGAGGGGCTCTAACGCTGACCCGGCAGGCCACTGCGGCGCCAAAAATCTCGTTAGCGGAGGTTGCTCTTCTGTGGCGCGGGGTTCTTCCCATTATTATTACGTAGTCCTATTTGCTAATTGGAGAAAGGGCCCAGGGAAAACTGGGTCAACCTCCGAAGAGCGCCTAAGGACCAACAATTTCCGCGACGACGCAGCCTCCACCCGAGGCCAGTCAGGCCGCCGCACCGAGGCCCGGCTAGCATTCTCGGTTGGCAGATTCGCCACGTTTTCCCTGTCAGAATTTAAAATGAAAATTCAAATTTCCCTGTTTTGGAAACCATTCCTACTCAAGAAAACAGAGGCAGGAGCGACTTGGTGTTCTTGAGTTTTTTTCTCTTCTCGCTTCCAGAATATCTACACTCAGCGGGCCAGGGACTTGCGTCGAAAGTGACGACGCGGACGCACAGGCCGCTGTTCCCGGCGCGCAGTCGCGACGGCCCCTCTCTCCCGCCCCCGCCGAGAGTCCGACGTGGAAGTTGCTGGCTGACCGAGCTTCCAAGGAAACCTCCTCGGAGCCAGAGCTGAACCCCGAGCCGGAGGCCAAGGCGAGCGGAGGTGGCGGCGCCGAGGCTCGAAGAGGAGTCATTGCCGAGTTCAGGGCCATTCTCTGACGACCGACAAGGGCGGACAGGCGGTTCATCATGGGTGAGGGATCTGGGAAGGGAACCTGCGCGCGCTCGAGCGGCCGAGGCCCAGGGCTGGGGTCTGGAGGAGGAGAGGGGCGGATCAGGAAAGCCAGAGTAGCCAGCTTCTCAGGGGGGCGGGTCGCTGAGGACTTAACTCACCTTGGCGCTTTCCCTCTGGGGGTGGACCGTACCTCGAACTCTTGTCCTCACTCGTTTGTCCTTCCTCACGGCGGGGTCAGGCATGAGGGCAACGCAGGTCTGTGAACTTTCCCCTCATCCCCTCGGACCCAGAACCACTCGCTGGGTGGAGCTGATCTTGGCGAAGCTTGGCAACGTGTCAGTCTCAGGTGTGCTAAGGTTTCCAGAGTGAGAGATGAGAAGCTTGATTCTCTCCCAGGGTCGCTAGCACTGCGTCAGTTTAAAAATCCAAAGGGAGGTGTTGCTCATGTTTTATAGCCAACTTAGCATTTGTCCGCTTACCTGTAACTTTTTATGTAGATAATAGAGTAAGACGGAAAAGGAAATGGATAGGGTATATTACTGGTCAGTGATGGCATTTTAACCTCAATTTTTGGAGTGCTAATTGAGGAAACTACATTGTCTTCACAAGCATCAGGTAAAGCCTCCCTCCCCGCTAGAGCCCACGTGAAAGTGCATATTCTTTAATTTGTTTACAACCCTCTAAATGATGCAAAGTCTTCGGGTTATTTAAATACCTCCACGATTTGGGGAGAAGTTTACTTCTTGCTTTGGAACATCACAAGCGCTTCCCTGTCTTTTTCCATAACCTTTTCAGTTTGTTTTTCGTCCACCTCTTTTTAACCTGTAAAAAGTAGGAAGGATTTTGTCTAGTCACACTCCTTATGTTACAGTTTTTCGAGATTCTCTAGCCCATGGTGTGTTCATTTTTTTCCAGACTCACCGCTCTTAATTTTGCCATTTCTTTGTAAAATAACCAGGTATTGTGTGTGGCATCACTTCTATCAACTTTTATATATTGTCAATGTGACTTTCTTTTAATCTCCAGTGGCTTTTGGTAAGAAAGGGCCAAAGTGATTGCTTGCCTGCCTGCCTGCCTTCCTGCCTGCCTTTTGTAATCCTTAAGGGAAAAATTTATTTTAAAACAACTTCTTTCTTTTATTGTAAAAAGAATAATAAAGATTCTAAATTTCCACCTCCCTTACTCCTAGGGGTTATTTTATTTAAATACAATCCAAATGAATCAACACCTTAACCTGTTACTAGGAGGCACTGCTGAGTCAAAGGATATAATTTTTAAATTTCAGTTTTTCCAGCTTTATTGAGATTGAATGACAAAAACTGCACATATTTAAGGCATACAATGTGATGTTTCGATGTATGTATACGTCGTGAAATGATTGCCACAATCAAGCTGATTAATACATTCATCACTTCACAGTTAACATTTTTTTGTGTGTGACGAGAACACTATGAGAGCTACTCTTAGCAAATTTCAAGTGTACAATGCATTATTATTAATTATAGTCACCATGATATGTTTTATCTTCTAAGGAAAATTTATACCCTTTGTGTAACATATCTCCCATTTCACCTACTCCCCCAGCATTTGGTCACCACCATTCTATACCCTGTTCACAAGTGCTTTTATATTACACAATACCTTGTGTATAGAAAGCTTTCTGGTAATGTTTCATAATGCATTGCATGTAGCTTTATTATTTTGTTAAATGAGTTTTCAATCAAAAATAGTTTTCATTATTTTTGTCTTCTCAGTTTCTTGTGTTAGTTATATCGCTTATAGAGAATTCTCAGTGATTGAAGGTACTTAGGATGGTACTGCTGCTGTAGGGTAATAATAATTGCTTTTCATGTTCAAGGACCTCTGTCCCACTCCCATTCTAAGTTGCCGTTTGGTTTCCAGGGGTAGTGAGGATATCATGCAAAGGTATCCATATCCTCTTGATTAGAAAGTGCGCTCCATAAGGGCAGTGGTTGTATTTCTCTTCTTTTTGTGTGTATCTTTGATATCTGCCTGAGACGGTATCTAGGACCTGGTAACAATCAGTAATTACTAGTTTGATATCAAACAGTATATTTCATTGGGAGCAAAAATACACACCTATGAATGGAAAATATTACAGTTATTTAATTTGGTATAGCTTTCAAAGAACACAAATATTTTGTGGATCTAGTTCATGAAATGATATTGAAATACATTTTTGTTATTTTTTTTAAGGTGGCTTTTTCTCAAGCATTTTTTCCAGTCTGTTTGGAACCCGGGAAATGAGGATTTTAATTTTGGGATTAGATGGAGCAGGAAAAACTACAATTTTGTACAGATTACAGGTTGGAGAAGTCGTTACTACTATTCCTAGTAAGTGTTGGTGTGATAAACCAATTATAGGGTCTTTCCGTTTTCCATCAAACATAACTTTATTTCTGAATAAATATATAATAAGATAATTATAAGTTTTTAAACTTATACTATGAACATAATATTGATGATATTTTCCATAAATTCACTGGCAATTCACTGTAATTTATGGAACCCTCTGCATGGCTGAGTTTTGTTATTTAGAGCTGTTTTAAAAGTTGGCTCGAGTTAAGCCACCTAATCTCATTGAGAGCCAGTATCTTTATCAATAAAATCAAGATAATAAATACACATTGGCTTTGAGGGGAAATAAATCAAGTATATAAAATACTTTGAAAACCTATGTAAAGAATTAGATATTAAGTGTAATATTACCTGTGGAGTGTTTTTTTCCTATATTTATTACTGTTTAGATTAAGATTGTTTCTCTTAAGTAATTATATTATTTTTGAAGATCTGAGTTGGAAGAGACTGAGTGTTGAATTAATCTTTACTTAAAAATACCAAGAAACACCTTACCTTTAAATCAGTTGGTATCTTAGAAAAATATTCTCCAACAGTCCTGTTTTACTACATAAGAATACTGTTCTGTTACTTGTACTTTTTTTCACGTGTTGCCCTGAATTTACTTAGGGAAGATTAATACATTTAAACTAAGTTTAATAGTTCATAGAGTTTGCTCAAGAATGTTTAAATTATGCCTTTAAAGTTACTCTGTCACTCAAGGTATTTCTGTATTTAGTAGTATTTAGATTTCCAGATTTTTTTTTAAAGGCTTGTTTTTATGAAAGAAGAACTTTGCAAACCCTGTGTCATCTGTTGTTTCTTTTTGCTGCCTTCAGTAAATTTGAATTTTATTGGTTTTTGCTTCTCAGAATTGCCCATCTCTGCTGCAGTTGAGTCTTGGTGGCCCCTCTAATACCCACAGCCCAGTGGATTGCATTTCAGCAAATTCAGTTTATACTATACTCTTGTATAAGCAGTGTTCTTAATTGAGATGAAGATAGTTATTATGCTACTACCTGATTCTAAGGGAGATATGAACTTGCTTTTAAGTTTTTTACTCAGTTTTACTATGGTATACTTATTTTTTTCATTGTAATAGGCATACTTGCTATATGCTCATAAGCATTATTTACCAATATAAACTTAAATCTAAAAAATAAATCATCCAGTTATAGCTGAAAGTCATTTTTTACTTTTTTTTTTAAGTTTGTAAGATCTTAGGAATCTTTGTACCTGTAGCTCCTAAATTTTTTCAGTGTCTTCACCCTCCTTTAGATTCCTTTCAGTGAAAGTAGTAGTATCCTGCCTTAGCTGTGTGGTGCCAGAGCTCCATCTAAGGATGGCAGGGCAGAGGGGTGGGACACCTCCCCTTTGACCATCCAACTATGACCTCAGTGCAAATGAGCTCTTTGAGGAAGTCTTCAGAGGGTCCATGAGACTGCCAGCCTTACCCAGCTTCTGTAACGGGGTAAGATGTTTAGAACTAGGCTTTCTTGGTTTTGTTCTCTGTTTATTTGCTACCTACCAGAATTCCATTTTTTTTGGAATGCAGCTACAGCTGTCCTTTCTGAATATAACTTTTTGAACACTTTTGTATGCCAGTACTATATTACGAGGGGAGTTTAAAATTATAGGATTTCCATTGAGGTAAGAGTTTTATATTTGCAGAGGTGACTGGGGATTCTTAGATATTCTGAAATGGTGCTGATCTTGTTAATTGTGTGTGTGTGTGTAGCGCAGCATACTGTTTCATCTTAAATGGAATAATATCTCTACCAATGATGTGATTCAAAAATTACCATTAGTTGCTGAAACATGGCTAGATTGGATACTTTGAAGATAGAATGCACTTGTCTACATATACTACTAATTTGATTTCTCTTCCAGCCATTGGATTTAATGTTGAGACAGTAACATACAAGAACCTTAAATTCCAAGTCTGGGACTTAGGAGGACAGACAAGTATCAGGTATGGTACAAATGCCAGATTATTTTGTGGTATTGAATCTTTATTGATTCTTCCAGTGCTAACAGCCAGTAAACCAAAATATATCTTCTTTTGTACTTTAAATGGGAGCCACCCAGTTTAAGATGAATTAAAACTGCCTTATTCTCACAATTAAAATCGGAGAATTAAAGATTTTAACTAAAGAAGTAAAATCTAAGGAAGCCAGTTTTTTAGATACCACTTAAATGAGAAATCTTTTCATGAAAATCTCAAGACCTAATTACTTCAGTAGTTTTTAAATAAAAAAGATCCTCCATTTAGTTCTTGTCAGTCCCTTCTTCTGTGAGAACAGACTGTTTTGGATTTCATAAAAATACCTTTTGGGCCCACCATTTAGGGCCAATGTGAACATAGATGCCCCCTGGAACTCAGGTTCCCTGCTCAGCACTCTGTGCCTGACCTGGCAACTGTGAATGTTTAGTGACAGTGATTGCTCACTAGGGTACTTACTGTTTTAGAAGATCAGAGTGCATTCCCCAAACATCCTGCTGCCTTTTAACTCACTTTATTTCTTGAACTACTTTTGAGTCTAATTTTAGCCATTTCTACTTCTTGTCTTCAGTGAGCAATTTAATGTCTATTATATAACATCATATTAAAAAAAAGTTTTAAGAACCCATTCCTCTTAAGGAGCTTCTACTTAAAGATTTATAAGATGTAACAGTCAGATCTGTGTAAAACTTTTATTATCAGTACATTTAGTGATTTTATAGGCTGTAAATGTATTTATATAGTCTGAACTCATTGTGAAGCTCCTTGATTCTGTGATTTATGTTTATCAACATTCTTTCCACTTACCGTATCTGAGGGATATGATAAATATCCTTCAGAAACAATGAATCATTATGGTATTGAGTCTAAGATGGGTGGGGAAGGATTGGCAAGTAACACCTCACCCACCCATCATTGCCAAATTCTAGCATATAAATTAACATGTCAGTTTTTTTTTCAGATAGTAATATATTCTCCTTTTCTGAATTGTCTTTAGACCATACTGGAGATGTTACTATTCAAACACAGATGCAGTCATTTATGTAGTAGACAGTTGTGACCGTGACCGAATTGGCATTTCTAAATCAGAGTTGGTTGCCATGTTGGAGGTAAGAAAACTTTATTAAGACGTAGGGAAGTCATATACATTTGTTTGCTGTTTTTGCTGTTTATTGTCATATGCAGGAATAAATGGAAAGCAGGGATATTTTTCCCCCTCCATTCCTTTAGTATCATTTTCTTTTATGCAAATTACTTTCTATTCTAAAAAATACTGTTGGAGAGAGAGCTGGAAACATTAAAAAAAAGAAAATTCCAGCTTTGTAACTTCCTTTAAACTAGACTCCTTGATTACCAGAAAATTCAGAGCTGAACTCTTTCTAAACTGAAGTAACTATTCTAAGTCATTCCTATGAAGTGATTTTTTAAAAATGTCTATTTCTAGTTGTATAAATTAGCTTATGGAAGCAAATTTATTATATAAGTAATATAAATATATAAATTATAAGAAAGCATATTTGTTTTAGAGACATTAAAGTTCCCAGAGAAATACATATTTCTGGGTTTCTGGCACAATTCTGGCCCTTTACCTCTCCCAGATTTATCATTCTTTACTCTTCCCCATGTTTACAGTACCTCAGCCACACTGATCTTTCTGTTCTTTGAACACACTGAGCTTGCATCCCTGAGAGCTGACTTAGGGCTCCTCCTGTATTTGCTCCTCCTGCTTGGAATGCTCTTTCCCCAAGTCTTTGTATGACTACCTTCTTGACATATTTCATCTCACATGTTTCTTTCTCAGAGAGGGGTCTCAGTTATCCTCTAACCCCTTATCCTGTTTTATTCTTTGTACCACTTAACCATTTCTTTCTGTTATTTTAAAATATATTTGTTATATATGCCTCCCATTCTAAAATGTGAACTTCTTTAAGTTTACTTTGTACCTCTAGTGTGTTGGAACAGTGTGTAGCTCTTAATTAAAAACTCAATATATTGTATTCAGTGAGGTTCATAAGCTAATTTATTGGCTAGCTAAGTGACTGAATTCAGAGGATGCATTAAATAACACAAAATTAAAAAAAAATCTCCATTTGTTAAATCAGCTTTTCTAATGTACTAATGATTAACTAATAATGAAATTGCTTTTGCTCAAGAAAATTAGATGAATAGGTTTCCTTTTCCCACCCAAACTATAATTCTAAATTAACCATCATTGAATGTTTAAATATAAATTCTAGGCCACCTAGTTAGTTAGAAGCATTCTCGGAATACTTTGGACTTCTCATTTCTTGGATGACTAACTTCTTAGTGGCTTCCATGTTATAAACTGCAGACCTAAAGTTTTGCTTTTTTTGTTTGTTGTTTTTACAACATAGCATCATATTTATCATAAGAGCTTCTTAGGCCAAATTCAAAGTATGAATTTTAAGGGACTGGTTAATTGCCTTGGGTATAACAGATTTTTAACATAAAAGCTTTATTTAGATGTAATTCATATGGTATAGTGGATTTTTATCATAGAAAGTATTGCATAAAAGAAATGGATTAATTTCAGTTCACAGTTCTTCAGTTGTGCTAGATTGTTGTTAGGTTATTTGTGGTATTAGGATTTGGCTTGTGTAATCCTATGGAGAAAGAACCAAAAATTGTATTCATTATTTTTTTTTCAGTACCCAAAGCATTTCTCTATTTGCCAAATGCAGCTTTATGTATTGAGTGCCTACTGTGTGCCAAACACTATTATAGATGCTGTAATTTTCTGTTAGAGCTGAATCATTATGATAAATGAAAATAAAATAGAAATAATTTCTTCAAAAGGGATTAGTATTTTATAATTCTGCTTCATGTGATAAGTTATATTCATTCTTTAGGAAGTAACTTAATCGATTCAATCAATAAATATTTATTAGTGATATAAAGTCCATGTAGAGTATGAGTCAGACCTCTTACATCAAACAGGCACAAAATCAATTTGTTCTATCTTTGTAAACAAAAATTCTAAACGGAGTAAAGAATTAAATATAAACAATGGAATTCATTTTAAGAATTTGTGAATATGTTTAAAATTTCTGGGTTTGGAAATCAAAGAATTGGAAAAAAAGATAGATTTAATTATATTAATACAAACAAAAAACCCCCAAAGCTCAAATGCCAAACAATACAAGTTAGGGTAAAACAGGGAACCAAGACACAGTTTTACAACCAGTGACTAAGGATTAGTGTTCTTAATCATATCAATACCTTTTGCAAATCAATAGAAAAATGGATAAAAGGCATAAACCTACAATTTATGGGAGCAAAATATATTGCTGATAATACTTGCACTTCTAATACCCTAATAATTAAGCATATAATGAGATGCTATGTTTGGAAAAATACATAGTTTCCAGTTCTACCAAGGCTGCATTGAAAATGGGCACTGGCAATTATATACTTTGTGGAGTTGAAATTGTTACAACTTTTCTGGACAGCAGTTTACTAATATATGTAACAAGAGCCTGAAAAAAATTTCATACTTTGATTCTATTTTTAAGAGAATTGTGATAAGGAAATAAGAGATTCACACAAAGATTTCTCTGTAAAGACTCTGTCACTTGGGTTTCTCTAATAGTTGAGTGAAAAGAATCTAGTAAGAATTTAATGCTGGAAAACTGTTATATAGTTTATGGTGCATGCATTCATAGTATAGAAGTATATCTGCCCGTAAGTTTTTCAAAACAATTTTTTTGCCAATTTGGAAAAACATCCATGATTTAATGTTTAATTTATTTTTTAAGGCAGGGTGTGGAACTGCATTAAATGTGATCTTAAATGTATAACTGTATTTACTAAATAAGTAAATACCTGAATTATAAAGCAGTAGAAAATACTCAAAATGTTAAACAGATCATGTTTAGGAGATAGGATTATGGATGAAGTTTCTTTTCTTCTTACTTCTCTATAATTTCGAATAATTTTGTGGACATTGTATATTCATACTTAGAAAATACGCTTTTAAAATAATGGATTTTTTGGCATTTCTTCCTAAACTCAAGGGAGCAAATTGATTAGAGGAAATGAAATATTTTCTATTTTATTTATCTATTTAGGAAGAAGAGCTGAGAAAAGCCATTTTAGTGGTGTTTGCAAATAAGCAGGACATGGAACAGGCCATGACTCCCTCCGAGATGGCGAATTCACTTGGGTTACCTGCCTTGAAAGACCGAAAATGGCAAATATTCAAAACTTCAGCAACCAAAGGCACTGGCCTTGATGAGGCAATGGAATGGTAAGTATCATATTCCTAGAAGCCATTTGTGCATTTGTGTGTACATGTAGCTGTGTTCATGTGTAATTTCCCCTTAGTCTTAAAGATAAAATTCAGATTAGTTAATCATGTTAAGTTCCTTCAGCCTTTTCTTCCACTGGTCTTCATGTAGTACATCTGCTTTTATTTCAACCACACCTGCTGATTATAGTTAGATAAACCAGCTCTCTGTTATCTTTCTAGCTTTTTCCCTACCTCACCTCGCCCTCCAATTCCTTATCCTTCAGGACTTAGGTTAAGGCTCTCTTCTCAAGAACCTTCCCTGACCTATCTCCGTGCCCACTGCCTTACAACACACTTAGATGTCATTGTCACAGATCAGTGATACAGTAGTTCCTGTTACACTATCTTGTAATTGGTTTGTGTCCATCCATTAGACTATCAGCTCCTTGAGGACTGAGACTGGTTTTCATCTCTGAATTTTCCACATCTGTCCTAGCTGTAGTAGTAGCAGCCAGTAAAGTACATATGTGGTCTTTTTTGATTATTCATTCAAAGCACAGACACTGTGAAAGCTAAAAGACTCTCATGGAAACAGTTCATAACCTCATTCTTATAATATAACTATCTTATTAACCTTCATCATTTAAAGTACTTTAAAATCCATTGCCAGTATTAAATTCATATTATAAATGATCATTCTCTTTACCTGAGTTTGAAGTTAATTTCATGAAACTATTCATTTTCTCTTAACAGGTTAGTTGAAACATTAAAGAGCAGACAGTAATTCAGACACTTCTGTTCCTCTGAAACGAAAACCACATCACATACCCCTTGGGAAACAAGTGAAGTGTGCTTCACACTACTAAATGTTAAAACTGTATAACTATTGGCATATACGGAACTGACTGCAACATTTGTAATAAATATAAAAAATAAGTATTTGGTTGCAAGGGTAACTGATCATGATTGAACCAAGAGAATGTCTGTTCTGTATAATGTAAAATATTCCTTCCTTGCTTTCTTGTGTTAAGGTATATATTCTATTTGTATGGAATTCTTATTCAGATACAGTCTTATTAAAGACTTATTGAGGAAAAAGACACTCCTATTTTTAAATTAGTGGTTGCAGCTTGTTTGTATTAACACTAATAAATGTCTTAACTCAGATTTTTTCCCCCTAAAATGAATTAAGTTTTTCCAAAGATTAGCCTCCATACAGTAGGCAAGGAAATTAGTGTGGGTAATTATAGTTTCCATTTGCTTAATGACCACTTTATTTAAGCTGCTTCATTTAAAAGCTTTTGGTTATAGGCATGAAGCTGAGGTAATTATTTGAGGTTTGCTTCACTGACTTATCTGTAATTATCATTTTATAGTATTTATAGTTGTTGGGGAAATTTTACAGATATAGACCTAGTCAATTTGTACAGGAATCCTGTGATGTAGCTAGGCCAGGGTGTAATGTCTTAATTTTTATGGATGTGGACCTAAGGTATCTGATAGGCTGGCTTGCCCAGGGTCACCTGCTAGTGAGGTGGGAATGGAGCTCACAGTGACTTCACGGTCAGAAGCTTGTCCCTTAAACTACACCATAAATTCCTGAAAATGCCAACCTTGGCAGCACAATCTAACTCCTTAAATAAAATTATGCTAATTGAAGTAGACGTAGTACATTCAAAATAATGTCAGTAAATTTACTTGTCCATACTAGTAGAGGTAGTAAAAAGTCTTAGTTACATTTGATGGAATTCACAACACATTAAAGAAAATTCCACTTTAAAGGAAATTTTTAGAAAAGATCTATTTTAAGAAGCATTGTAAAGGATGTCTTCACTGTCTTTGATTTTCCTTTTATCTACATGTAATTAGACATGTAAATTTGGTGAAAAGTCAAAATCAAAAGTGCTACAGGGAGAAATTAAGCACTCCTACTTTTGAAAAATTAGGCCTATTGCTGCTAGGCTATCAAAAACAATTATATTGTAAGGGACTTTTTAAAGAAATTTTTCAAGTCAGTCTACCACAGGATTGGCTCACAGTGTGACAGAAGTAAATAGAATCCTTAGTAATCATTAGAGTTGGGGGTAGAGGGAGGGATTTTTTTCCTTTTTTTAAGTTGGGACAGGCAGCATTTAAAAATTGCATGCCAGTAAAGACAACTTAATACCATTGTGCCCATCACATCTCAAGAACACTAGTGGTTCATTTCCTGTCCCTGACATTGTCCTTCCAGATGTTGGCCTCTGGCCTCCTCCTCTCACTTTTGGTTCTTCACCTCAAATGAATGTGACTTTCTCTTTTCACCCATTAGACTTCAACTCTTCTTACTCGTTCCTCAGCACCCATTCCTAATTTAGTTTCTTGGAAATCTTTTTGGAGACCTTCCTCCAGGGACAGGTGTTCCCAGTGCACCTAAAGTTACTAAGTGAGCATATAACTAACATTGTTTCATAGTTTTCAAGGCACTCCTGATGGGCAGACTGTCTTTTTCATATTTATATCCCTAGAATCCAGTACGGTGCCTGGCACATTATGGGACCTCAGAATATGTTTATGGTTGAAATAGGATATAGATTTGTCAGCTGGGAAAATAGTACATTTTATGTTTAGGTCCCTTTCTGGTCAGTGGCACATATTTAGTGCTGGGCTTGTACTCAAATGTGAGTACTCCTCAGTAGTTTAGGAATATCGTGACAGTAGAAGTATGGGGAGATGTGGCCCTGGCAGGCAGATGCTGCCTGGCATGCAGACCTGGTAGCAAAGGCCAGCTCTTGGATGATCTTCCTTCCTCTGGTTTGTCTCAAAGAACGGGATGGGATAAGTAGAGCATACAGTTATTTTCATAAGGTATGAATTATAAGGGCCTTGTCTAGCAGGAAACAATTGTATAGGTATGTTATAGGAGTTTGAATGTTCGTATTTATAAGATATCTATTGGGTATTGTTTTGCAAGAAGCCTGCAAGAAAATGGGAAAAGCACCGAACCTGAAATCAGAACACAAGAGTTCTAGGCATAAAGGGCCACTCCATCAGTTTGTTTGTTTGGAGAAATAATATCAAAGGTTTCTTTTAGCTCTTAACATTCTACTTTATAACTCTGGTTGGTAGTTGGGTTGGGTTGTGATCACATTAAAAAAGTGAGCAATTGAGAGCTGTGGGATTCTCTTATCAGAATACCAGAGATGCACTTTAAGTTGTGGGAATGTAAGCTCCTTGAGGGCAGGGACCATATCTTGTTTAATCTTAGAATCCCTTGCATCTAGTGTGGTGTGCCTGGCACATACTAGGCACTCAATAAATATTTACTGATTAAAACAAAGCCGTGCTCAATATACTTGAGATATTTCTCATTTTTGCCTTAGTATTAACTTTTGTTTTTTGATTTAAAATTTTTTATAAAAGCAATGCATGCACTTTAAATCCTGTAGAATTGAATCTGCCTTCCAAGGTACCCCACGTTTATCCTTGTGGCACATTACAAGCCCCCTGAAAGTATGAGAACTCCTGTTTGAGACACAAACTACATGAAAACACATGCTGAAGTTCATGAATGTTTGTTTGAACATTTGATTTTTATGCCATATGCTATAATATTCTAACCCTGTAATTACAGATAATAAAGAGCATGGGCTTTAAGTCCTGGGTTTGATGCTGACTATGCCACCTACAGCCTACGTCACCCTTGGGTAAATTATTTCACCTGAATATCAGATTCCTTGTCTGTAAAATAAGAAATTTTAGGAAGCTGTCAGGAAAACTATGAGTGTTAAATACTATAAAGTGTAGGATGGATTCTTCCTCCCCCCAACCTTCTAAATATTCCAGAATATTCTTCCACTCAAGATTTTTTGCTTCCACATCAAGTGTAGAGAGGTAAAATATACCACATGGTTGAAGATGATGCCAAGTTGTTTTCCAAAATGGGTTCCTCTCCACCATACTTGCCAATGTTTAGTATTGTCAGCCTCATTAATCTAAAAGGCTCAAAATAGAATTTCATTCTGATGTTAATCTGCATTTTCATAATTATTAATAAGGCTGAATACAGGAGCAATGGAAGATATTTAACAACAGGACAGAGCTGATACAGGAGGACCCCCCTCCTGGTTCAGGTACTAATCCTTTAATTTCCGGTGTGGGGAGACACAGGGTCTAGGGGCTCACACAGTCAGGGAGGCACTAGGGGCTCTCAGGGTGGTGACTGCTTATCACCAGCACAGGAGATAGAACTTTAAGAACCGGTATCGCTTATCAGCTAAATGCCACTGTTTAAGGGCCATTTATATTTCCTTTGTGCAACGCGTATTTCTCTCTTTTGCCACTTTTTCCACTCTGTTATTTGTTGATTCATAGGCATTCATTACATAGCTTGGAGCTACTAATCCTTTATCAGTATATGGTACATACCATGCCCCAGGTGTGTTCTGTAAGTAGAAGTTCTTCATTTTACTGAAGTAGAACTTATCACGTGTTCACTCTATAGATTTCACTTTTTGTCTTATTTTTTTCATATCTGACAGGGCAAGCCCGTCACCTTGTTCTCCTTTTTAAAGAAGAGTATCGTGGCTATTCTCAACTTACTATCTTCCATATAAATTTTAGAATTAGCTTGTTAGGATAATATGGAGAACTCCTTTGGGATTTTGCTCAGATACGCATCTAACCAGTGAGATCCAACTTGGGAAGAATTAGCAACTTATGATACTGAACCCTTCCTACCCATGAATACAGTTTTACTTCTCCATTTCTGTAGATCTTTCTTACTGCCTTTTTGACAAAGTTTTATAATCTCCTCCATAAAAGTATTGCAAATCATTTGTCTGCTTTATTCCTAACTTCTTCTACATGTTGTCTTGCCATTTTAAAATTTTAAAAAGAAAAATATGTTTTAAACTTTTTATCACTAGTGTCACATGCTTTTTAAAAGACAGTGAAGATACGGTAGTAGTATGAAATATTTTAATTAAAAAATGAGCACAATTATATTAAACTGTATAATATACAACCTACGCCAGAGTTTAAATTAATAACAAAACCTGCTATGATTTCAGATCAGCAGGTATACCGCAAAGTTCATGCTTTGGGCTAAGCTGAGACACCGTCAGCACAAGGAGCATTTTACTCCACCATTGCCAGATCTTTCAGGCTGTGGCTCTTCCGTCTCTTGGCCTTATATCCTGGACGCAGGAACTCTATCTTTCTCTTCTTTGCCTCACTTTTATTTTTGTGTTTCTTGAGCTTTTTCTTGGCGGCGATATCAGGATTGGTTACAAACTTGAAAAAAGAATAGGCATGTTACTTTGAAAGTAAATGTTAAACCAATAAAAATCAAATGCAGAAATGGACCATTTTGTTCACCTTTAAACATCACAAATGGCAACATATGCCCATGGAAGAAAATCTAGAGCCCAGGCTGTAAAGTCCCACTTGTCAAACACAGCCAATTCCTCTTTCCTGCCTGGGTAAGTTCCACACATGCATGTGCACATCCCTGGTTAAAAATGGTTAAGTCTTGTGAACATGCCATATTTTCAAACATTAGACCTACCTCCAAAGCCTTCCTCTTTTTTCGGAGTGCCCTTTTCTCATTAGCTTGTTTCTGTACAGAGGCAAAGGCTAATGAAAAGCTCTCAAGCCCAACCAGCTTTTTCAGTAATTCTATGATTTCCTGGGATAGATTCTTCAGCAAAGGATCTAATCACACATAGGGTAATCGTAAGAGACAGACACATAGGTAAGTACACATTTGAGTATGTACAAATCAACAACACGCAAATTTTAAACTCTCAAGGCATTACTTTTATCACTTCAATGTTAAACACTGATTTAAAACTAGCCTCTTCGTTTCTGAGATTGGAAAACAAGCAGAAGTGCTGGACACAGCACTCCCAGACACTACCTCATCCAGGATGCAAAAAGAGATAATGGACCATGAAGCAACTTCCAGTGGAATCCTGACTCAGAAGACATTAAAGTAATTTGACAACTTGACAGAAACATTTTTGGTTTCCTTCGTTAACTTGCTCGGGTCTGGGCAGATGAGGGAAAAGAAAGGTAAGTGTATTTCTCTAGGCCCTCTCTAATTCACGGGTCACAGAGGCTTAGCTCTGGCTGTAACCTGTGTTTTTTTGGATCAAAGTCTCCTTTGAGAAGCTGATGAAAAGCAATGTTCTCCCACCCTTACCTCCTCGCTCCCAAATGTAAATAATCCACATATTTCTACATTCAATTTCAGGAGGGCTCACGATACCTGTTCTAAATTGCAAGTTTCTTGAAGATAGGGACTGGGCCATTTATACTGTTGAACTCCCAGTGCCAGGCAAATATTAGGTGCTCAGTAAGTGTTGGCTGATGAGAACTAGAGCCGACCTGACCTTCTCTAAGAGGAAGGAAACTTTCCTTCAAGTAGGACTGAAATATTCACTTCATTTGTTTTATTTTAAAACTCTTAACATCCACTCTACCTCCTCTTTCCAACCCCTAATTCCCTCTTATTATCAAAAGAGAAAACTTAACGATCAGTGAGTACCAGGCAAGAAGAAAAAGAGGAAAAATTAAAATACGTAAAACTATTTCATATTTTTGCCTTTAAATTTTGAGAACATAATGACATTTAATTGTATATATTCATAGCACTATCAGGTTTAGAACCCAAATTAGTTTTCTGTGAATATTTAATCTATGTTTAGGAGTAAAACATTTTTTAGGAGAGAAGCATTCACTCTTAGATATAAGACAGCACATAGAAGACAGAAATAACACAAATATGCCTTATTTGTTTGCTATTGTCTTGATACCTAGAAAGTTTTCTTTCTTAAACTTTGGCAGAGAGGGAGGACAGAAAGGAAGAAGGAAGCATTCAGAAGTGAGGAATCCTAGTGTGCAAGTATCAGAAGAGCGACCACAGAATTACCCTGGTCCGAATAGGTGCTGTTCAGTTCTCGGAACAGAGGAGCTATGATCACTGGGAGATAGGGCTTCACCTTGTCTGTTCCAAGATCCATTGCTATAGCTCCGAGAAACTTCAAGATGCATGTTCTCTGAAAGTACAGATCATTTTTTCATTTGAAGTTTTTCTCATACTTGTAGCCACACAATTAATTTAGAAAACAAGGTCTACTTTAGGGCAGATTATTGCTGTAGTTTTGGGTTCGAAAGTTCCTAGGGACTTGAGAGGATAACTAATACCATTAAAATACTGAAAAAAAATGAAGACTACTTTCAGTCATTCTGCACACGCATCGCACCTTTAAGGGGTTTCTAGGTGAATAAGCAGCTTCTAGCTTTGCGATCCGGGACAACTTCTGGATCAGCCACAGCAGTGTGGCTGGCTTGCTGTGCTCTTCCTTCTCATCTGCACACGCCCTGAGTTCTTCTATATCCTCTCTGACCATGCCGTCACCTGAAACTTCCTGTTCGTCCATGTCTTCTTGCATGTCATCTTGCTTATCCCCAGAATCAGGTTCCAGTAAATACAAGACTTTGGCTACGAACAACAAATTCTTAACAACCTTAAAAAAAGGGAGAGGAGGGGTAAGAATTGTACTTTGATTCTGAAATAAACATGGCTTAGTAAAGCAGCAGCTAAAATAGGTATTCTACAAGTAGAAAATAAAAAACAATTGGATATTGCACTGTTAAATTGATGATTGCTCCGTTTTGGGGAGGTAATTCTTCAGTTTTCCTTAGAGTGGGTCGAAACCCATTTCCATGTAACTATCATCCATTTGGCTTAAGTCCCACTGAGTAAATAAGCTAATTCTAGGCCATCCATTTACATTTTTAAAGAGAGCTGTCATCCTCATTTCATTAAATTCCTTCATCTGTTCTTCACAGAACAGTTTCCATTTACTGAGCACTGACTGGTTTAGTTGCTTTGTATATAGTATTCAAATTCAACTTTAAAATATCCCTATTAGGTCCTATTATTAGGAGAGAAAACCAAGGCTCAGAGTTACTAAATCTCACTCACCCAAAGACAAAGTGAGTGGTTAGCCAGGATTCAAAGGTCTTTAGGATTCGAGCCCAAGTTCTTATACACTAAGCTCCTCTTTCCCTCATATCCCATCTGATTCAGTTAAACAGCCCAGGGGGTGATTTTCGTCTTAAAATAATGGACCCATTTATCGAGTCCTAACTGTGACATCAATGAAATCTCTGAGTATTTCACACCTGATACGTAAAAGAGGAAACCAAGTCGGTTTTGAGTTCCTTCACCATCCTGGCTACTCTGCTACAGGAGCTGTGTGCCTGAAGTTCCCCCAAATGCAGTACTCAGAATACCACACACTGTCCAAGGCTAGCCTGGCCATCAGGAGTTAATGCCAAGATTATTATTTCCTTTTTCTGGAAGTTGGGCCTCCACGAAGACAGTCCTACATTTGGAGGTCTTTACCTCTGTGGCAGCCACTTCACACTTAACTCTAAGATTAAGGTGAACTAAAATCCGTAATTTCTTCCATTGTAGGTTAGTACTAGTAAATCTCTTCCCCCACTATCCCGAGTTTGTATGGTCTGTCAGCCTTTATTAAAACTGATCAGGTGTGAGACCCCACCCACTGTCCACCCTGGCATGCTTTCTTTGTCCTCACTTTGCTATCCATCAAATAGCCATCCATTCCCTCCTCAACCCTTCCATATAATGAAGCATGTTACATGCTCATTTAAAAAAGTGACAGAAGGACCAGTGTTTATGGCATGCCACCTGAGATCACTCTTAGAGACAGCATTCACCTAGTTTCTAGTGCCCCTGTCCCTTAATTTCCATCACTTCATCTTGTCCATGATGGCTCACAGGAGACGTGGTCAAGTGCCTTGATCACATCCAGACACATCAGTGTCACATCATCTACCAGCCCAGCTGCTCTATCAAGAATTAAAAATACAATGGAGCAGAAGACCAACTATTCAAGGGCAATTTATATTTACTGCATATTTACAAGATGCTTTGTTCTCTATATTTTACTTATGGTTAAATTTTATAATACGAAAATACATAAAGCTTTTTACTGTTGGAACAATTTATCAGCCTCCTGTTAAAGACAGATGGTTCTCAGACCACACTGCAGCAATGTCACCTTGCTTACCCCCAGAATAATGAACATTATTGCTTTCTCTTCAGCTTCTAGAGGCAAGGGAAGGAAATATAACATCACAGTTCAGTATAAAAACAATCAATGTCCTTCAAAGCTTCAGTTGCAATGTGGAGTAGATATGTTAAAAGGGAAGATGAAAAAGATGAACAGCTAGCCTCCCAGTGCATTTATTATCTTTACTGGGAATTTTAAACGGAGCCAGGAGTAATCCCAATATGGACCCCAGAGTCGATTAGATATATGTGCATAATTGAACATGTATTTGAGTGTTTGTTAATATTTCATTTAATTCCCCAAGCTTTAACTAGGAAAAACAAAACAAAAAACAAATGACAGCCTATTCTTAGACTACTGGTAGAATAGACCTCTCCTATTTAACTGGGAAGATTGTACTACTTACCTGCTCTCCTAGAGATTGATCCAAGAATTTGGAATGCAACTGATGGCAAGAGGCTAGGGAGATACTTTTCATCTGTGAAAAGGAAATGGACATTGGCAGACACAATGAAGGCTATTTCTGACTGTTTTTAAAAACTCCAATAACTAACCATAATAATACAACTAAGGTAGGAGATTTTGCTTTGAGTGACCACCTGTGTAGATCTGGAAAGGGGAGGTTCATGAACAGAAATTATCTAACTGTTACCTTCTATCTGCCATGAGCATTTCAGCTTAAGGACATGGGGTACTTTCAAGCTCTGGGGAGATACAGATCATAACCTATTAGATTATTGGTAGACAACTTTACAACATTCAATACTTTCCCCCACTCTTTTCTTCCCTTCCATCCACTCATTCAATGTTTATGGAGTTCCCACTATGAGACGGGCTCTGCTGGACCCTTTGAAATCACAGACAGATAACAACATGGTCCCTACCTAACACTTTTGTAGACATGATCTCATTTAGTCATCAACAAGGTTATGAAGGAGGCAGGACAGACAGCATTAATCTTAGTCTCCAGTACTGATAAAGAACGTAAATAAATAATGGAAGATAAACATGCTAAATAAGCAAAAGTCTGACTAGATTGACAGTCTAAAAATCAGCTTTGAAAAAAACTTGGCCTCGAGGGTGACCCCCCTCTAGTTACTAACACTCCAGACCCACATGTACATCAAGTTGTTGATGGAAGAGTTTCTCCCAAGGGCCAAGTCCAAGAGAGTCACATGAACCAGAACGAGCATCTCACACAGATCATGATGGAAAGAAAAGATCTTAGAGAAAATTTACCTTTTGGTCAAGGTCACTTGTTAGGAACCTGATTGCTACAGGTTCTGAGAGTTTCTTCTTAGTTTTTTTGACATTCCATTTACTGGTAAGTTCCTCTGGTTGGCAAGAGGCGAAGAGCAGTCCAAAAATCTGGGCTGCAGTGAGCCACACCCAGTTGTGCGGGTGTCTCAGGTGAGAGTGCACGTGACCTAAGGGACCGAAACACATTCTCAGACATCTCAAAGCTTTCCTGAGTCTGGTGGGAAGCATGACTAAGTTAGGCATTTCCTGAATGTCTCTAATGTGCTTGGATTTGGGAACAAAAGACAAACAAAATAGTCCCTGCTTCCCAAAAACTCTCAAGGAGCTAGGGAAAAGTGAGGTAGAGAGACTGGGAAAAAACTAGAGGACCAACAATTAACGTGGTAAGTATGAGTAAGCT